TGTGAGAGCTTGGAAAGAAGATCGTTGTTTAATTTGAGCACCTCGAACCTTTAAACTTTTGACGCAAATCTTGTCGGAGATGGTAAGGAGGGCTTCCAGCTTACGAAATTGTTCGCTTAGAGAGTTTCGACTGGCACAGGTCTCAGCCACTATTCAAGTATTTTGAACATCAAGATGTCCAGTTATTCAGAGGGAAACGAAAATAATTCGTGCGAGACACAGACCAAGGTGTAACACTAATGTTTAAAAAAATAATTATCGTCGTTTTTGTTGTCAGGTGAACTTTAGCTTGGTTCTTTTCAGTCAGGGGAAATACTTTCAAATGACAGTGCATTTTCAGAGACGTTACAATGACAGCAAGTGTCCGTTGGAGTTGAGCACATTGGTAGGTTGTTTAATTATTTAGTTATCGCTGTACATACCTTTATAACTGCACAAATGACTTGAGTGTGGCAGTACTCGCATGTGTCCAACCTATACTGGCACCTCTGTTCCAGATGGTCTGCTAATTGGGCTCTAGTGACCAGTTCGCCGCAATCCGAGTGAACACAAGGTACTTTCACATACTCACAAACAGCTTCATGGGCCTGTAGAAAGGGAGCCAAATTAACAATTACGTTAAAACGATAAGCAGTAGATTTCATAGTCATCGACATCGAAGCTCACGAGGTTTTGTCAGCATTGATACCTGACAATAGGGGTTGCAGAGGAAAAATGTATATTAGAATTCGAAGTAATCGCATCTTAGTCAGTAATAGAGTTCATTTCGACTGAGTTTTGCAATATCAAAGTAATCACATTGGCCAATCAGGACAAAGGAGGATACCACAAGGAGCCAATAAGAACACCAACTGAAAACAAGCGAACCACCTGCAGTGCGGGAAAACGCAGACGAGAAAGTCAAGAGGGTGATCAGATAATGTTCTGATATTCCTTGAGAGACTCAGATGAAAATAACCAACAGTGTAATAAGGTCTACCTCTCGTTTTCTCAGTTCATCCTTCCATTTACAACCGTGCTCGTTGTTGACGCAGTGTAGCGTTAATGACTGAATTTCTCGCTCAACAAATCGGTCTTGGAAAACCTAGGATGCAGAAAAGGACAAGAAAAAGATATTGAAGACAGTATCAATCACAAAAAAGTCAAAAATATGAAATAAGCGTGCAGTATCGATCCGATCTGCCTCAAGGCCTCGTTCACGCGAGTAATTTGAGCGCTCTTTCTCTGGTGCCTCAGTTCATAATGTTTCAGTACATGTATGGATACGTATGGATACGTGATTTTCCAAATCGCTCTTGTAAGGCTACAGGCAGTTTGTTCTTCGGTCTCGTTCAATGGAGAAGCAGGCGATCGTCTCGTTTCATGAAGTCGCTTTCCGCCGTTTGTTCTGAGAGCCTAGCACAGGTCAGCTAAGTAATGGCTAATAATTTGATACCTTATGACTGATTTGGTAGGACAAGTTAAATTCTAAAGATTTTCGGGACTTATAAGGGCAACTGACCTGTTCTCGCTCAATGAGTGTTCCATCTATGACACATTTTCCTGGTACCTGACTGAAGATTCAAGAGAATACAAAACAGGGCTTACACAAATTCATAGAAAATAATGTAGCTTGAACCACTTTCCTTAAGGAAAATATTGGATAATATAACTCTGTCCTGGTAGGAAACAGATGCAGGCAAGAGTTTCAGCATGCATCTAGACTTGAAAGTATTAAGATACATACTGAGCTGAGATAATACTGCTAAAACAAACAAACAAACAAACAAACAAAACTGAAAGCTTCTAACTGCACGATTGACTCTCGTACATGCTTGTCATAAACCACAGACTTAAAATAAATTATTTATTTAAACTTCTGGTGACCTTGTACTCAATACACTGACTGCCATAAATCTCTTTCAGTCTGTTTTACTTACATATGATTGGCATGACTATCAACGTAATCTAAAAGTAGTATCCAGTTATCGCAATAATTTCATGTACAATAAAAACTTAGTTCGGCCAAATTCACCTAACCTACCTTAGTATGTCTTCCACACATGCTTTGCAATATCTGTGTCCGCAGGCTATGGTCTGTACTGCTTCTTTGAGGAGCTCGTCATATTTAGGACATATGTTCTTTTTGTCGATCCCAGATCGGTCAATCGTCGTTAAGTAGTATCCAGGCATAGCAAATGATTCTTGAATCGTAAACAATCAATATCTATAGGAAAATTATCAGTCAGAATCATAGACTAGTTTCAATTCAGTTACCTTAGAGTACCATGCAACACTCTTACACACAAAGCAAAAACTTGAGAAAAAAAAACCCTGATGTTCTATGCCTATTTGTTTGACCGAAATTCTCTTCCCTTGTTATTTACGGAGTGAAGAAAAGTTTTTTGGTGGCCTCGTTTTTACATAGTATTCTTGCGATAGACGTTCGTTTAACTTAGAAAGAGTGCAAATCTGTCCCGAACACTTCATCGGTTCCGATTTATCTTCGAGACCATTTTGAATGCGGACGCAGCGGTAGTTCGAAGTTCAGGGAATCCCCCAAACGTTGTTGAACGCTATCATCATGTAACTCGCAGTTAAGTTCTTAGAGTCAGCTAGAAAGATCTCAAACTTTTCAAACTTCTTCTCTTGACCGTTCTACAACTTATCAACTTATCGTGACGGCAGAGTACAAAAAAAAAAAAAAACATACATGTGTATGCAACAACTGATTTTCACTTTCGAACACACAAATTGAGACATATAAGCATTAGCCATCGATATACCGGAACTTCAGCTGTATGGTTGTTACGAATAAAGTTTACTCGAAATGCGTTGAGTTATAAATTTCGACGGCGAAGTAATCGCAGATTACTGCGAAAGTCTAAAAAATATGGCTTCCACTGTATTTCACTTACATGTGCTTGCACTTGATTTCTGTCTTTACACTTGTGCGTAAAGGGGTTGACACTGCGCAAATGATGAATCTTAGGGATGACTCACAGAAAAATATGAATCGCCCACATTATTTTTCACCATTTGGCCAATCGAGCGAACTACAGTGTCAAAACTAACAACTGTAGGCGATAAATTGTTCTGCTTCCAGATCTGCTGCACCTTTCCAAGTTATCATTTTTTTGAGCCCAATTATCCCTCAAAGGCGTCCCTTTAAATATCCAAGTTATCAAGTTCGAATATCGATGGGAAAAACTCCACCAGGTTTCAAATACGAATCAGTGATTCGTGAATGATTCGGTCTGATGATTCTCCTGATTCCCCTAACTTTAACTGTCACGCGACCGCTTATGCCCACGCCGTTTGCAGTTGGAAGTGCTAATCGAACATTGAAAAGTTGATTGCATTCTTCAGCTTCGCTCTATTGATGTTGTCTACTGTCGACTTCTTTTACAATCGTAAAAATACTGTTAAAGGAAAGGTGAGGGTTCGCAAAAGAATCGATTTAATGCCATCGTATTTATGGTTTGCGGAGTAACTGGAGTTCACTCGTAAAGGAGTGAAAAAATGGGTCGATATTATACGAAGAGATCCTCTCTCGGTTTGATCAAATGGGCCGGACAAGGTTTTCGTCTACGCAATGGATCTTATTCGTGCTACATTCAAATGAAAGAGAAGCTAGATAATACTGTGATGTTCCTGATGTCACGACACCAACATGGATCATTAACTCGATACGCGACAGGTTTGATAATTACAACTAAGGCAAAACATATGCATAATTGTATACTCACCGTGCAACGGATAAGTAGAAAGCTATCCTGTACTTGTGATAGTTTCAAATACCTCCCATGCATACAGAATCGAGCTTAAATGAACTCTTAGCCTATACCATTAAAGGCAAAGGCGAGGCCCTCTTGTGAGTATCACAGATTGGTCATAGCTTTAAATTGATTATGATACGAATTTTTTTTTTTTTTGCGCAAATATTTCGCTTATCATATGTACAAACCGATTCCGATAGAGTAAAAGATTTCAGAAAAACTTAGTCTAGTGCAGCTGAAACATCATGTACGAAAACGTTGCCTCAGTTCATGTTGTAGCTCTCTGAATAAGAGAAATCCCCTCAATTCAATAACGAGTAGTCACGCCATTAAAGTTTATTGTTTGAAGCAATCGGTGACTTGCACGATATAATTTATTTGGTATATCAAAGTATAAACCAGAAACGATTACACTAGAAGAGCCAGAGCAGTTTCCGCACCAAGAACTTTTGCATCTTAAAACTTGCCTTAAGTTTAGAGCACAATCAGTCGTCCAGCAGTGAGAATCATGTGTTTAAGTGACCTTTCGTCTTTATAAGACTACGCGACATGGGAAAACGTGACATAGTTGTCTTTTAGAAAGAACTTTCCAATTCCACTTGAGGAATCCTGCATTTGGGGATAATGCAACCTAGAGTCTTAGGACTGCCAGGTCGTTTATCTAACAGTTACTAAGTCATGACTGCGCGTTAGACAGGAGATGGTAACGAGGCGTGTAGCACCCGAATTAGCTATATCAACCAACCTCATTTCCAACAAGTGCGAATTGAATAACTGTTGTATTAAGTTTAAATGTTTTCTTCAATGCCGTGGGAGCTTACGTAACTTGTTTTCACTCCCCACTTTTTCAAATCAAACCGACCGGAAGTCAATTTTACTTCCGACCGCCCAACGGCTAAACTTCAGTCATATGACAATGTGCCTCGCTTTACGAATGACGCTGAATGAAATTTTATACGGCGTTACCCAGCTAACGCTGGACCTGAATGTTTACACGAAATACATAAATTTCTGAACCAGGAAACGTTCCAGGTTACGAGATACAAGCATTTCATCGGAAAGCGAAAAAGTTGTGCACATCAAGGCGATGCGGAGTATTCAGTAACAACTCCTCCCGCTACGTGGAGGCGACTAGTGGCGTATATTTGCAGAGCATTTCCGCCACTAGCCAACAACACCGACTTGGATGGTTGTTTTAGTATACGGTTTACTGAAACAGTTAGATAATGTAGCATAAAAAAGTAATTCTAACTCATTTATTCCTACAACGATTACTGTATTCTCGGGCGCAAACCCCGTGCGAGTCTTCGAAGGTGAGTAGCAGAGGATATTCGGAGTTTAAGTGGCCAATCCGAGCGCGCCTTTAAAAGCTAGCCACTGTTTTAGTGTACACAACAAGCTAATAACCGAAGTACAGTGAAACAATCAGCCTCACTAAAGAGGCAATATCAGGAGTTTAAAAGTTAGTGATCAGACAGTTTATAATCTTGCAAGTTATTATTCCTAAACGTCCCATCGATATCTGCCTTCTAGATATCGACGTTCCACTGCCACAAAGATATAAAGGCTAAAGTAAATTGTTACTGCAAAACTTCCCATCGATGTCCAACTTCTAAATATAGATCATTCATTTAAAATTCATATCCATTCTAAGGGCTAAGATCGTCATTAAAAGGGGTCGTTTAGTTTGCTCAAGAATATTAAGCTAGCTTTTTAGCTTCCAGAAGTCAACGACACCAGACTGGGGCAGAAAACGGTCAGACACTACGAGAAGTTTTCACCAAATTATCACTCTGAAAAGTTTTCTGGCCGGTTTACAAATCTGTGGTGTCCACTATAATTTTTATGAACATGGTGTCATCCCGGACGTAAACGTGGTTGTTTAACTCCGACAGGGGGCAGAAGGTAGGACATCCACTTGCTATGTTCGTTTCCCTTCTTGGCCTCTGGCAAGAGGAGCTGTTAGGATCTGGACGGAATGTGTCAACCACGTGTTCCACATTATCTTGATCCAATAACATGAAGGTAACCTTCTGTCTGAATGGCCAGCGGAGCATCGCGTCATACTGACCGCGCATCACCGCAAAGAAGATTGAGATATGGGTTCCTTTGCCGATGCCGTCACCATCTAAATAGATACGCCCACACATCTTATATCCATAACGACTTGTGAAGAAACACGGGCTGTAAAATGACACTTGACCTCCTGACTGTGCATCTCGTCGTCTCCTGGCGAAGTCGGAAATTTTCCACAGTAAGACTCCGTCTTGACTGGATACTTCTTGTTGTGTCACGTATTCCTCTAAATCGCTCAGAGTGACATTGCGCAAAGCTAGGGAGTGACTCATAGACTCAAACTGCCTCTGTAACCTGTTAATCGTCTCTTTGGCAGCTTCCAGTGCTCTCGCTAAAGTGGCAACCTGCCGTTGAAGATCTTCATTCTGTCTGTTCCCTTCGATGATGAGAACTTCAAGGTCAGCTGTTTTAGCTTCTTCATTATGAATTCTCCGTGAGAGCTCCATCGTTGATTTTTGATCTGTTGCAGATGAATTCGGAATAGGTTCGTTTTGCCCAGCACCACCACTTTCTAACTGGTGTATGCGTTGTTCTTGTTGAAACAACTTGGATTTTAATTCTTCATTCTCTTTTAACGCGTGTTCTATCTGTTCAGCAAATCTCTCCAATTCTTTCTGGGATGGCATGTTTACACCTTTAGTATTGACGCAATTTGGTTCACGAAAGTTACTCCCTACCAAAGAGAGAAGTTGCATGACTGTTTGAAAGAGGAGCGTCATATGCCCAGCAACATTTTTCTCGTTATGAGCCTTTCTATCTTGCAGCTTCATGGTCTGAAAGGTAAGAGGGTGCAAATCTTTCGTGAAAATCAGCAGAGAAAGATGTTTCAACGACACAATTATCAATCAATCAATTCAACCTCTTAGGGTTGCTCTGTACAATAATCAAATAATGTCAAGCTAAGAAGAATCTGATATAATGCAGAGAATACACATTTCATACAGAAGACCACCGTTCAATAGTAATCGCCATATTGAGTTCGAAATCTCAAAAACTTCTTAAAAATGGATGATAATTTAAACGTTCACACTTTTTGTGTATTCCCAACACGAACCTTAGATTCAGGACATCCGATTTGCGACCAAGGACAAGGAGCTGTTATCTCTTCACAGTCTCCGTTCATTGGGTCAATATGAGAAGCCATCTAGAAATGGATTCAAAATGTCGAGACAAGCCAAAGTTAATTCATTACTAGCGTAAAAGCCACTGTCATGTGCTAAACATCATGATCCTGTTCAAAGGACGCCAATCTAACCCAGCAGTGTTTTGGCCCGTCCGTATAAACACTTCCAGAATAAATAATCTGCACACTTTAACTTGCCAAAATGAGCGCGCAGGTATGCGTATCACGGGTAATCATGACGTCGTATCATCTGGAACTCCCGGCTTAAATACAGATGATTATTAATGACGACACAACAGGGCTAACAATGGCACGCAGTTAACAGTATCTGGTAAGTTACCAACTCATGCATACTTTGTTGCCCAGTAGGACAGTACGATTGGTTACGATTGCAGTAGTCTCATTTGAAATCGCCACGACTCGTACAGTAGGTTAGATAGGAAAAATCGAGATTAGTACATACCACAAAGAAGAATAGTCCTTTTCGCGCGCGCTGATTGGCTAGATCGGAAGTGACAAGCAGGTTTAGCTTGTACCATTCAACTCCACGCGCATCAGTATAAGTTTAATTACAGACCATTATTCGGTATATTGATAGAAATAAACAAGCTACTTGCTTCTGTGTGGTGTATACTAAATAATCATTCACCACAATTACTTTTGGGTTGGTTACGTGTATTGAAATGGCAGACAAGCGTATTGATCTAGAAAGAATATACAAATTTTTCGATACTAAGTAGTAATTGCACCATATCTGATCAAAGCACTGTAATTGTTGATTTTCCTAATCTAAAATCACGGATGGTAGTTCATGAGACTTGCCTCTCTTATAAACCAGTGGAGAAAGTATATCTGAGCTTACCTGCCCACGAGGAATGTCCTTCCTGTTACACTTTGCGCATTCGATTAGCACCGCAGGGCATTGGGTTTCATGATGTTCCTGTCGTATGAATAGCAGAAAACATCCATTAGACAAAATTAAGAAGGCAGCACACGTATTACGTACCACCTTATGCTTCTGTCATGATTCAGCCACATCGAAGCTTGTGAGAGCTTGGAGAGAAGATCATTATTTAATTTGAGCACCTCGAACCTATAAACTTTTGAAGCAAATCTTGTCGAGGAGATGGTAAGGAGGGCTTCCAGCTTACGAAATTGTTCGCCTAGAGAGTTTCGACTGGCGTAGGTCTCAGCCACCATTCAAGTATTTTGAATTTCAAGATGTCTAATTATTCAAAAGCAAACTAAAAGAATTCATGCGAGACACAGACCAAGACACAGACCAAGGTGTAACACCAATGTTTAAAAAGATGATTATCGTCGTCGTTGTTGTCAGGTGAACTTTAGCTTGGTCCTTTTCATTCAAAGGAAATACTTTCAAATGACAGTGCATTTTCAGAGACGTTACGGTGACAGCTTAAATATCGATTCGTATCGACGCAGTAGCTGAGGATATCTTTATCGAGAAATGTCCGTTGGAGTTGAGCACGTTGGTAGGTTGTTAAATTATTTAGTTATCACTGTACATACCTTTACAACTGCAAAAATGACTTGAGTATGGCAGTACTCACATGTGTCCAACCTATACTGGCACCTCTGTTTCAGATGGTCTGCTAACTGGGCTCTAATTACCAGTTCGCCGCAATCGGAGTGAACACAAGGTACTTTCACATACTCACAAACAGCTTCATGGGCCTGTATAAAGGCAGCCAAATTAAAAATTACTTTAAATAAGCAATGGATATCATAGTCATCGACGTCGAACCTCACGAGGTTTTGTCAGCATTGATAGCTGACAATAAGGGTTACGAGGAAACATGTATATTTGAATTAATCGCACCTTGAATCAGTAATTGGGCGCACTTCGACTCAGTTTCGGAATATCACAATGGCCAATCAAGACAAAGGAGGATACCACAAAGAACACGAACTGAAAACAAGCGAACTGCACGCAGTGCGAGAAAACGCGGACGAGAAAGTCAAGATGGTAATCAAGTATCCCTTTTGACACTCAAATGAAAATGGCCAATAGCATAATAAGGTTTACCTCTCGTTTTCTCAGTTCATCCTTCCATTTACAACCGAGCTCATAGTTGACGCAGTGTAGCGTCAATGACTGGATTTCTCGCTCAACAAATCGGTCCTGGAAAACCTAGGATGCAGACAAAGACAAGAAAAAGATATTGAAGATACAGTGTCAATCAGAAAAGTCCAAAATATGAAATAAGTCAGCAGTATCGATTCGATCTGCCTCCAGGCCTTGTTTACGCACGCAATTTTGAGCGCTTTTTCTCTGATACTTTAGTTCATAATGTTTCAATTCTAATTATTTTCTTTAAAGTGCGAATGTGATTCTTCAAATCGTCCTTGTAAGGCTGCTGGTGTCTCGTGCTTCTGTCTCGTTCAATGGAGAAAAAGGCGATCGTCTCACTTGATAAAGTCATTTCCGCCGTTTGCTCTGGGAGCCTCGCGCAATAATTTGATACCTTATGACTGATTTAGTAAGACAAGTTGAATTCTAAAGATTTTCGGGGTTTAAAAGGGCAACTTACCTGTTTTCGCTGAATGATTGTCCCATCTATGACACATTTTCTTGGTCCCTGACTGGAGATTATAGAGAATACAAAAACTTTAATGAATTCAAAGAAATGTAGCTTAAACCACTTTCCTTACATGAAAAATATAACCCTGTCCCGGTAAGAAACAGATGCAGGCAAGAGTTTCAGTATGCAACTGAATTTGAAAGCATGAAGATACATGCTGAGCTAAGAAAGAAGCACTAAAATAAAAACAAACAAACAAAACTAAAAGCTTCTAAATGCATGATTGACTATTGTACATACTTGTCACAAAGCACAGACTTAATCCGACAGATTTATTAGGTCATGACTTCTACTCAATACAATGACTGCCATAAATCTATTTTACTCACGTTTTAATTAAATATGGTTAGAAAGACTAAACGTAATCTATCATAGTATCGAGTAATCACGGTAATTTCTTAGGAAATAGAAACTTACATCTATAATCAGCCAAATTCACCTTAACGTACCTTAGAATATCTTCCACACATGCCTTGCAATATCTGTGGCCGCACGCTATGGTCTGCACTGCCTCTCTGAGGAGCTCGTCGCATTTAGGACATAAGTTCTTTTTGTCGATCCCAGATCGATCAATTGGTGTTAAGTGGTATCCAGGCATCGCAAATGGTTCTTGAATCGTAAACAATCAGTATATATATACGAAAATTAACAGTCAGTATCACAGATGCGTTTCAATCCAGTTACCTTAGAGTACTATGCAACATAACTTGTGCTAGGCAGAAGATTTTACCCCAAGTATCATTTCACCAGTGAAGCAAGTTGTGGTGACTTGTTGCGTGTTGGTTAAACTGAGGTATGTACTGAGCTATGAAAATTATTAGCATGATACACTTATCGCAAAAATATTTTCCGTAAGTTAGGGCCGCATCCGTTCACACCCTGCGTATTTTGACTAATTTGACCACAGAGGATTGCATTTGAAAAAGAGAGTATCAGGTTATTTAATTTTGAGGTTGTTTGTTTTACTTCCCAATGGTCTAGAAGTCAACCTCCGAAAAGCTTCTTCTGGTTGTATTCAATTTGTGGCAAACACGTATGTTCGATTACCTAGAGAGATTGCTTCCATATCCTTCTTATCACTGAATGACATAAAGCTACAAAAATCCCTTAGGGGCATTCCCACGGATGTTGTATCATAATAGGTTAACATACCAACACGAACCAGCGATTAACCTAAATATGCAAGACAGTTGAGCATGCGTATTAAGTACGCCTGTTTGAAATACATTGTATTTCCTTCGATAAATCTAGAAACTTGCTTTTGCTCCGCCTCTGACACACCTGATTCTTAGATGCTTTCGACTGTTCGGAAAACGAAGTAAAGGTATTTGTATTATCTTTGAAAAAAATATTCGTCTTTCGCCGCTTGAAGCGTCGACAGACTAGCCTTCGTAAAACTTAACAATTGTTTCGAGAAGAACATTGCTCGCGTGACATTTGCGTTACGTTTAAAAGTTTATTTAGTTTAATATTTCACCTTTTCTTTTCACTTATTGATCACCTTGATTGACACTGAAATATGAGTAAGTTGGTGGTTTTTAGTTAGTTTTTTACACGTGTCGTGTCGGAGGCATGAATCAGGATAGCTTTCCCGTTTTTGATGATTATACAGTTTAGTTTAACTCTGGAATCCCGTCACGAAGTAAGTCAGTTGTTTTAAGTCGTTTTTGGTTTCCTTAGGCTTTGTTACATTCAATTATTCGCGTTGATTTCTGTTAGTGTAATTTCTGTAAGACCGCATGTAATTAGCGGTTAAATCTGTTCGTGTTTTGAAGATTATATGATGTGCTTAGGTCTCTTATTTTTGGTTAGGTTCTGTTGTTTAGAAATCTTATTTATTTATTGTTTCAGATCGAATAAAATTCTATTTATACGATTCGGGATTCTTTAGAGCCACGCAAGTAATTTGGTTTTCATCCGACGGACCAACAATGTTTTGACAGTTTCGCAAGACGGAAGTCGGTTTCGAAGGAGATCAGAGTGAAAAAAAAACACTTAAGTGCCTGAAACGAACTGAAATGAAAAAAATGCAGCGTTATGCTAAACATAAAGATAAATATTGATGCAAAACATTCAACTTATAACACTGATTTTCTTCTAAGACGTAATTCCACTGCATACATACAGCGTTTCGTAAGCTTAGTCTTTCGGGACATGTCACATCAGGGAATCTCAAAAATTTGGCTACCGTATACAATTCAAATTTTAAAACATCGAGCGAAAAAACTTGAAGGCATGAAATGTTTTCAATCATTCTTTGGAGTTCATTGACACATCAAAACAAAAAGGATACACTTGCAGACGCCAAAAGATCTCACCTTTTCCAGAACGAATGAATCCGAACTTAGTCATTACGCTTTCGGCAGTTCTACGTGGCCCCTGAAGTGAATACCCAAAGGAATAAATCGAGCCTTGTATGCACAAAATACAGCGGTAACACCCATTTCTGAATGACACACTTGAATCAACGAGAAGTTGTGATGGCACTTTCTTTTGCATGTATCTTCCTTTGACAACTAATTTACATGAACCCTACATTAATTTACACGATATAAAACAATACATATATATTTCATGAATAATGGAGAAAGTCCAGCCTTACTTAGGTTATTAATTAATTATTACATTTAAGGGTCAGGTACCACACACATGCATACACAATTCAAAACACAAAAAGAAAAAAGAAAAAAAGAAGTAGAAAAAGAAAGACTATGAAAATGAAAAATGGAGAGAGTTCAGGCTGCCTATAATAACCATTGGGGGCTAAAAAGATAGGGCAGCCTTACTTGGATAATTGATAAATTATTATATTTAGGGGTCAGATACAACACATGCACATACACTACACAAAACACAAAAAGAAAAAAGAAAAAAAAGCTAGTAGAAAAAGAAAGACAAGAAAAGAAAGCTAAGTTTGCCAGTATTTAACAACGGAAAGCTGAAAAAATATAGGTTTGGTAAATCTGCAATGAATATTTAGCAATAAGAATTGACTTAAACTTTTTCTCAAAACGTTTGAGAGAGAGAGGCTTTATGTCATCACTTATCATTCCAAACTTTAGCTTCCTGGAAACTTATGTTGAAAATTCCATTATTTGTTCTGACTTTTGGGATAGCATAAGTCATCCTGGAGGACAACCTAGTGTTATATCCATGAATGTTCTTCACAAGATTAAAAAAGGTATCACAGACTGAAGGTAAAAGTTTGTAATGGAACTTATACATAAACACTGCAAGTTGAAGGGTAATGATATTACACAGCTTGATAACATTCAAGTCTTTAAGTAAAGGACTTGAGTGTTCAGTGAAGCTGTTTAATAAAGGTTATCATTCTTGTAGCTTTCTTTAATTATAATAAATGTAAACAAGGGTTGTAAAATTGACTGATATGTATTACCCCAAGCAAGTATACAATAATTTATGAATGGCTCTACTAAGGTATAATACAGGCTTAATAAATTTTTGTGTTTAGGAAATAACAAAGCCTAGAGAGAATACCTATACTTCTTTTGATTTTTTTCAGCAATATAGTTAACCTAGCTCTTCCAACGAATATTTGAAGCTAAATAAACTCCAAGGTATCTAATGGAAGATTCTTCAGTTAATGACTGATTATCTATACATAGCATAACCTTTTTGGGAATTTACTTGACTAACTGGTACATGTAAAAGTTTATGTAATGTTTATTACATAAACTATGTAATGTTCCTATGTAATATTTGAAATGCTTAATAGCTATTTTTAACAAAAAGTTATGCCTGGTGATTATTACAAAAATGTGTTCAGTGTATTTACTACTACCTGGGGATTGTCAAGGAAAACATTCTTATCTTCTGACACACTGCGTATCATTATACAAGAAGTGCACGTTAAGCAAAATTTAAAGAATTTCATTCAAATGGCTACTTCAAAAGATGTTTTGTAAAGGGATGTCATTTTTTAACTAATAGAGCGGAGTCAATTAACTTGACTGACAACAAATGAGTGAGCAATTATAATTTCAAGCTTCGCTTCAGTTAAATCCGATTTACACAGTCAAAGCAAAAATATTGAGTAAGAAAACCTGACCTTTGCTTAATTGTTTGACCGAAATTCCCTCCCCTTGTTTTTTACGGATTGAAGAAAATGTTTTCGATAGCTTCGTTTTTCATATGGTATTCTTGTGATAGACGTTCGTATAACTAAGTAAGAGTATAATCTGTCCCGAACACTTCACCGGTTCTGATTTACCTTCGAGACCATTTTGAATGCAGACGCAACGGTAGTTTGAAGCTCGGGGAATCCACCAAACTTTGTTGAACGCTATCGTCATGTAACTCGCAGTAAAGTTCTCACAGTCAACTAGATAGATCTCAAAATGTTCAAACTTCTTCTCTTGACCGTTCTACAACTCGTCAACTTATCACGACGGCAGATTACAAACAAAAACATACATGCAATTATACGCAATAGCTGATTCTCACTTTCGCACGTACAAATTGAGATAGATAGCATTAGCCATCCATATACCGTTACTTCAGCTGTATGATTGTTACGAATTAAGTTTCATTCGAAATACGTCAAGTTATAAATTTTGACGGTAAAGTGATCGCAGATTACTGCGAGAGTCTAAATAAAAAAAATGGCTTCCACTGTATTTCACTTACATGTACTGGCACTTGATTTCTGTCCTTATACTTGTGCGTCAAGGAGGCTTACACTGCGAAAATGATGAATCTCATGGATGACTCATAGACAAATATGAATCGTCCACAATGGTAGGTTCTTGCCATGTCCCGAAAAGACTAGGGTAGGCTGACCCATTGTCGGAACTGGAAACCGTAGGCGATCAATTGTTCTGCCTGCAGATCTGCTGCACCTTTCCAAGTTATCATATTGCTTGGAATTTAAGTTTTTCCTTTACCTGAATCAAGCAGTCGCGGAACACAGTCGTGACTCTTTCCTATTTTTTCTGGTAACGCCATCTTTGAATAGTTTTGCGAGAGAACTGATACAAAGTGACATAAGACACAATGACGTAACAAAATACTTATGCAATGACGCAATGCGGTACTTTTAGTTAACAAAATTAATTGATGAATCATAATGCATGCACAAAGATTTCAAATGCACGAGTTGCACGATCATCATCATGTGACTGAGTCAAAGAACTCGATTTCAAGTTTTTTTTTTCACCTTCGCTTAATTTAAACCGACCAAAATGATAACATTTTTCAGAGAGATTAATTTTTTCAGTTCAATTATCTTTCAAAGGCATCCCTATGAATATCCAAGTTATCGAATATCGATGGGAAAAACCCATGATTCGGTCTGATGATTCCCCTGATTCCCCTTTAGTGTAATAACTTTAACAGTCACGCCACCGCTTATGCCCACGCCGTTTGCAGTTGGTAATATTCATTGAACATTGAAAAGTTGATTCCGTTCTTCAGCTTCGTTCTACTAATGTTGAATCATAGTGCATGCACGAAATTTTTAACCACATGCGCTGCACAATCAAGAACATATGACTGAGTCAAAGAACTCCGCGATTTTCCGGTTTCTTTTCACCTTTGCTTAATTTAAACCAAACAAAATAATAACAAAATTTCCCAGAGTGATTACTTTTTTCATTCCAATTATCCCTTAAAGGCATTCTTATGAATATTCAAGTTACCAAGTTCGAATATTAATGGAGAAAACCTCAACGGGATAGCATCGAGTTTTGAAACACGAATGACTCGTGAAAGATGCGGTCTGATGATCCCTCGGATTTCCCCTACGTTATTATTATAACTTTAAAGGTCACGCGACTGTTTGCAGTCGGTAACGCTACTTAAACATTGAAAATTTGATTCAGCTTTGTTCTACTGATATTGTCTACTGTCGATCAACTTCTTATTCATTCGTGAAAATACTGCCAAAGGGAATCGAAGATGAAGGTTCCGTAAAATTCGATTTAAACTTATCGTATTTATAGTTTGCGGTGTAACTGGAGATAACTCGTAAAGAAGTAAAAAAATGGGTCAATATTA